TATATTACTGGTAGCGGAGGCTCAAAGGAAACGGCTTTGTCATTTCGTTACCGAGATGGGACCCATGGGGTCATTGCATGGGCAGCCCGAAATGGGCTCGCCCACGCCACATGGACGTGGAACCCACCAGGTTATTACAGGGTCTCCCTCAGGCCACTTCGCTCACGTGGGGACCCCTAATATGCTGCCCGGGACCGGAACCATGATGTCAAGGGTAAAGCATACGTTACTTGTGTCTTTTTTCTTGACAACGAAGGAAGCATGTTTGTGAACACGCTATAGAAATATCCCTCGTTTTGCTAATAAGCTTTGTTTTTGAAAGCAAACAAAACATTGGCATTCGCAGCGACAGCAGGCGTGCAGCACCTGGTGCGCGTCTCCGACTGGTATCCTTCCAGCGTCCACAAATGAGATCCCTCGATTTCCGCCCAATGACGTCATCGAAGTGTCATGCCGCTGCCTGCTGCAAACCTGGCGGTGCCACAAAAAACGGAGGACATGTATGTGGAAGACGGCTGTTCTGCTGCAAGTCGATCTCCAACTTGGCAGTTCAAGCCAGGAGTTGGGACACCTCCACGACAACTACACTGACGTTTTCTCGGCTCTTTCACCGGAACTTCTACGAGTAACCGCCACGATCGCGGCATCCGACAGCATGACAGACCGGCTGCTGTGACATAATTTGTTGCTCACTTCGGGGCCACTTTGCATGCTTGGGAGGTATAGGACGCTAAACACGCGAAAACGCGTACCAAGAACCGTATAATAAAACTAAGCAGCTCAAAATAGGTCTGATTGCCGTCTGCGATTTCCATCATACAAACATCCGTAGCACTGCGATGCAAAACTTTCACGTTCCTCAGTTTTTGATATAGTTAGCACACACTCCGTGTATCTAGCAAGTTGGACTTTTTCGGGAACTTAGGGAAAAATGACTTCCACGTGGCAGGACTTTTCCTCCTCTCATTTTCCCAGGCTCGGGCCCTTAGACCATGCGGTCCCTAAACTATACTACAGCCAATCATTAAGTCCGAAAGTTTCAGAGTACTCTACAACCCTGGTACACAAGATGGACAAAGCTCCCCAATAGGGACCACCAGGAATCCCTCTCAGTGCATAAGGGTGAGGAGCTTTTCGGTGTCGCCGCGCTTCGCGAAACTGCAGGGAAATTTGGAGACATACTACATTCAGCGACTTCGCGTTACAGACCACCGGGCTAATCCGGTAAGCGCCTGACACCCGCGTCTCTCGGTAACGAATAAACATCGCGTCCGTCGCAACGGTTGTCCGTTGCCTAATCCGATCAGGGTGGCTCCACAGCCACATCCGCGGAACGAGACATTGTCGCCGCGGTGTCATAATGGCCGTCTCATTACGCCGCTTACGGATGGGCTCGAGCAGTCGGGCACGGTGAGCTGGCGCATGCGCAATGAAGACGAGAGGCCCCGTTGCGTCGTTTGTATAGACGCTCGCCTCCGGCGTATATAGGCCGTAATTGAGATTGAGGGTTGTTGGACCTTGTCCTAATCGGTCCCTTCTATATGAATGGTTTCCCCAGCGCACAAATCGTTGCAAAGGCCCCGAAAGAAAGTTAGGAATGTTGGCAGTTTGTATGTTTGTCGGTTTCTCTTCTCTCTCTCTCTCTCTCTTAGAGATTTGAGTTCTATAGCTTTCAGACTTGTACGATAATCTCACAATATAAAAATTGCTTGCATTTGATTTAGAGTAATTTTCTAATCATTTGATTGCACTTATTAGGAAGCAATCTGAACAGTCATCTTATTACTTTTGGAAGAATTCAAACTACTTGTTGCGGTTACTACCCCCCGCCCCCTCTTTTCCTACCCTTCTAATGGCGCCCATTGTTTCTGCAAGTTTCATACCTAAAGATCCTCGAATCCAGTCTCCGGCAGAAGGATGGTTTACCACCATTAAAAGATTAAGACAATAAGTAGTTTACATTTCGGTGATTTGATTTTGATAATGGAAAGTATAAAAGACCGCTTTTCCAAACCGGAAGGAAAATCTCTCGATTTGAAAATCTCAAGTAATAGGAAAAGTTACGCTTACCCTTTTAAGTTTCGGCCGATTACTATTCTTCTCGAGTAACCGAATAATTTATTATAATGATTTTGAACCAAGTATAATATTTGATGGCAATCGATTATTTATTTCAAGTAAGGTGTACAAGACTGCGCACAGTAAACTTCATAAATGGGAAGAAGCAGGCACACGCGCAGAAAAGAGAGAGAAGACGTTCCGAATTTTCGGATCAAGATCTCTGCGCAGGTGCGTATTGATCGACTGGGCGCATATAAGAATAAAACGCCAGAGAGTTTTGTTCTCTCCGAGGAAGAGAATAATTGGAATGCCATTGTATTTTGTTAGCGTGCGCCCACCATGGCTTGGTCTAGCTGCCTTCTTCCAGGCAGTCGGTGTGTATGACCCAGAACACCGCACAGAGCTCACTCTTAGACCCAGAAAGGCCCAGAACACCGCACTGAGCTCACTCATTGAGAGTTATAATAGAGTTTTTCAAGCAAGTGCCCTTGCAACTGGGCTGTGATGTCATAATGTTTCACTAACAGTTGTAGTTTTAAATTTCCCAGTAGCAGTCGTGTATAGTATCACTACTGTGCCGATGTGACCATGTGCATTTTACAAGGAGTGTGAAACTGCGTACCACTCAGACTTTGGACCGGGGAATAACATTCCGTGTCTTAAACCTTTTTTATTTGTGCATGTATTTCAACAAACTTCGCATATTGCCATATTTTGCCTAACGTAGCTTAAGAAAGCGCTACTCCACCCTCAACCTCTTCAACTACCCATTGAATATCGTTTTTACTGCCCGTCAGAATGGAAGTTTCGATTCGATTATTTATTTACTTATTTCTTACCCTACAAGTATTCCCGCCGACATAAAATATAACATTTACGAATGGGCATTTTCTTTTTCCTGTTAATCAAATCAACTACCACTACAACAAACCCACAATGATTTCGTTTAAAAGTGAATTTTTATGAGCCATGCAGCAATTTTTTAGTGGTACCATAACACAGGTGAGAACCGTGCATCCACTTTAAATATATCGAGTAGGGCTTTAGAGACCTACTCGATATATCCTCAGCTTTCGAATCTCCGTCTAACACACAAGAAAGAAATCAGGATCGACTTCATTCGGAGATTTGTTCATCGCGCCTGTGGCGTTGTCCGGGCTCGGAGTAAATTAGGGTACCGCGAGGTCATTTTGTGTATGGTGGCGACATTCTTGATAGTATCACATGCCAACAGCACGCTCTGTCAGGAAAATTACGAAGAAATAGACGGAAATAAAACGCCTCCTTAGCATATAGTCAATGCCAAGGGCGCGTGCCGGGATAGCTTTCACACCTTGCAGAACCAAAACGAAAAATAAGCGTTCGGAACAATACAGTCAGATGCCATCACGCTAAGCAAAAATACAAATGAAGAGTAAAATATTATAAAACAAAGAGCAGTTATGATCTTGGCCGCAACGTGTATAGCTTGCCACTTATGGTTTCCCATAAACGACAGTTTTGATAGTGCAAAACGAATCAGGCGAACGTTCGCGCATTCGAAAAACACAAGCATGTGCGAGGTGATCGCCCACAGGGCTGTGAATTTGTACACAATAGAATTGTGTGTTCGCGAGGTGATCGATCTATAAAGGGCGTTTTGTCTAGATTTTTATCACGGAACTCGATGTTTACCCAACACGATGCCTGTGGACTGGAATCTTGGCGTCATCTGAATCGATAGAGTGCGGAACACAAATGGGCCTCTTGCAAAATCGAAGCACTTCTAGTGCAATGCAAATCGCCTTGGGAACCATTTGGCACTAACTTTTGGTTTCAATTTGCCAACCTCGCTTCCCGACATCCCGTCACGACTAAATACAGCGGTGAAATTTTCGAATACGCAAATTTCCTGAAATGTATCATACCGTAGGTGTTGCTTACCAGTACGGATATATAATGTCGGGGCACCTCTTGGGGGTCTCCCAACGCGCCAAAGTTTCTGCGTAAGTGAGCACAGGGCCACGATAACACAGGCAAGGAGAAGTATATTGGGCCGATCATCCTGTTTTATTGTCTCCCCAATGGCCTATGCTTCTTAAGTGATCCGCCAGCCGGGAGCGTCACGCTGTATTCTGGAACGGTAACCAGGGGCCCTATGTTGCACGATTTGGACTTTGACGGCGACTATGGAGAAGGAAGTGATGTCAACGACACAGCAAACGCAGATTGGATGTTGACAGAAGAAAACAAAATCAACATCCAGTCTGCGTTTGCTGCGTTGTTGACGTCACTTCCTTCTCCCTAGCCGCTGTGGGAGTGCAAAACGTGCAACATAGGGCCCCAGGACGCCAGAAAGGTATGCGAGGCAGCAGTCAGTAATCCTGTTCCTCGCTAAGCCTAGGCAGGCCTTCGCGGCCTCTGGACGTCCGTGTTTCAACGAGGGCTCTCACGAAGATGAATGGTTGCAATCCGAGCGAGCGCCGACTTTATTTGCATGCGCAGTGCTGAGTTGTACTACTTCGTCAACGGAGCGATCGAAACAGGAAACCATTCCATGATTCTTCTGTCACTCCTCTCCATGCCACTCGTCTCCATGGCCAAATAGGTTTTATAATGCAACGCGCGCAGTGTTGCATGCAGGGACTATTAAAGTAGTTTATTGAACACAAGTGCTGCTTCCGCGTTCGGCTCGGACTCAAATTCCTATTATAAATAAAATAAACAAATAAAAATAATTTCGTGCTGCAGTGATCAAACATAAAACCTAGACGAACGTTTATGCAGAGTTCGGCTCCCTCTTCATGTTGTTGTGGTCCCCACGCGTTTAGTTACAAACATAGTCACTAAGTTCGCGACGGCTGGATTTCCTCTTCAATAGCAAAAGCGATACAAATTTGTCCGTGAACTAAGAACAAGACTGAGAAACAAAGAACAAAAGAAGTTCGTGCGTCACTCACCCTGTCCGAACCAGGAGACCTGTCTGGCGGCGGCGGCGCTGCGTTCCCTGTCGGGACCCCACTCCGGCAACCTGTCCGGCCGACTCCAGGCGTCCGCCTCTGAAACCGTAGGGACGGCGTGAGACCAGCGAAAGGTTTCACCTGCCGTCCCCAGCAGAACAGCCGCTGTGGTTAGCGTGTCCGGGAGGCCCCCATGGGCCAACACACGTCACCCACAAGACGGCACACACCAACGTTAGCAGGGTCGGCTGGCTAGAACAGCGTCTCAGTTGAAACTGGGTGAAAGAAAGCACTCTGAAGGCTGGGGCGCGCGAGCGTCTTGAGGCGCGGTTTGAGTCCCGCTCAGCTCGTGCGCAGGCTTTGGCAGTGCTTTTTTCACGCGGTGTCAAATGAGAAGCTGTTTCTAGCAAGCCGGCCCAGACTACCTCAGTTGTGGGAATTCCGTACGGGGTGCCATCATTCACGAATACTTGTGGTCGTTAGATTTATTTGTTTTGTTTCAACATGAACGCGGAAACACTGCCAAGTTGTACGGACCACCCGCGGACTACGTTCAGTGCGTCCAACTTCAAACGGCCGCCTGATCGTTCTACCTGTCTGTCGTCTGCTCTTTCAAAAGTTTCTGCTTGTCGTCCGCTCGCTCAAACAACCGCAGCCCGTATACCAAACGCTGACCCGGTAATTGCGATGAGAAGTAAGTGCAGGACTCTAAAGGCTTTAGTTTGAAGGTTGTTTAGGGTAAGTAGACTAGGTGAAAACAGTAGATACAAACATATGTTGATAATTGTACCAGTGGCTATCATCGACTTGTTATGCCCGATTCACTCGGTCCGATTCTGCTTGCGATTTTCAGTGTCGATGTTGATATCTCAGCTATGGTTAACGATTTTGCAGCCGGATCGACGTTATGACTCAAAATAGCGAGCAGAACCTCATTATGCGAATTAGGCTTAGCGTCCATTCTGCGGCGTCCACGCGGAATGAATCGCTGCATGTCAGATTATTCACGCAAAGTTTTGCGGTGTAACGAGCCTCGTTATTTCGCCGAGGCAACTTAAGTAGTCAGGCGTTGCCAGGAAGAAGCAAAATCAAAAATTAAAACGCGAAAAAGGGCAGGGGGACTTACACCGACGGCGACAACATCGCATTCCAAAGGTTTATTTATGGGCGACGGCGAGCTTCTTGCCCACACTCCATCACGCATGTGCGGCGCCGGTGGCGTCCGCTAGGGGCGCTCCGGTTTGTTTGTAAACATGAGTTGGTCTATAACATTTATTAATGGCGTGCATGAAACATATTTTGTACGAACGTGGCTGGCGCACGACGGCGCCCGGTTTCGAAATTCTGCTAACCTCTGGTTAAAGGGTTGCAGAAAAAAGAAAAAAAAAAGTCAAAAAGAAAAGCTCTAGACCGCCTTTTACATCACCGAGAAGAGCGGAAACTTCGAATTCGGCCTTCTGAAAATATTTATTTTTAGTGCAAATACGCTGTTTTCAGGCTTCAAATTTTGAACGTGATGTCTAACTTTCATGCCCAATCGTTTGGTGTATTAAAGGAAACGCATATGGGGTGTCGGTGCCCCTTAGAGACTGAAGGTTGTGCCAGTTGGTTGATTATGTCTAAGACAGTGAGTATTTAGGCCACGGAAAAGGCACCACGGAAGAACGTAGAACACACACAGCGCTCCTCCAAAGGGTTGATCATTCCTATCAACGTGGGAGGTGGAGATGTGAGTGCGTCGTGCGTCTGAAATCGCCCAAAGTTCCCGTAACCGAGCACCACAAATCAAAATTATGCCCGAGCAAAATATATCCATTAACCTACCGGTTAATTGATTAATGATTTAATCGCGATTACATTTTCTAACCAGTTAATGATGCTATTTTTGGCAAACAAAAATAAATGTTAAACGCTTCCACCACGCAGACGACGAGTACACCTGTAAGAAGGGCAAACTTTGGGTAAACTTTTCACCTACAGTAAACTGTAGGGGCGAGATTTGTAATTAGAGACAAGGTTCTGAAGGTTACAGGTGTCTCGGCCACCTCAATGCCATACGAGTCTCCGTTGATTTCTGCGAAGACTGTTGGTGAAAATTCAAAGGAGGTCGCTGTTCCCGGAGAATATCAAGGAACATCGATATCTTCGCCTCATGCAGCAGAAGTAATATTCTGTGAGTATGAGTGTCTTTGAACTGTGCCCAACTACATATCGAGGTTTCGAAATTCCTGATTGCTTGCTTTTCACTAATTAAAAAAAAAAAAGAACAACAAAAAAATGTAAGTATAAATTTTTTCAAAAGTATTATGCATGGAAATTAACGCGGCCGATTACTAGATTAATTAATAGATTAAAGGGTGGCAATTAATTGGTGTAAATACTCTAATCGACGCCCGAAATCATGACGTACGCATAGTGCACGCATGACATATTCTTTGCTCCCCAGGTGTATCAGAATCATTGAGACAAGTTTAAATTCTAGAGCGTAAGCAGCGGCAGGTGGTGCACTTCATCCCCCTTCCCCCTCCGTTCCGTTTCAGCGTCACCCACCAGAGACCAAAAAAATAACAATGTTGGGACCATGTTTCATAAGGACGACAATGAACTATGAGCGTTCGCGTAAATGCCAATGACTTGTTTCTATCAATTTGTTCAATGCCTATTAATGTCTACCTACATATTATGAAATTATTTTGCTTAATTTGTCCAAATCTTGAGAATTATGTAGTTCAAATGCGATTCTACTCAAATACAAATTCGGGTACCCATCTTTGCGATGTGAGTTATATATGAATAGCATACTTCAGAAGCACTAATCTTTCCAAGAATTTAGCGGAATAAATATTTATTCATTTATTTGCTCGTTTGTTCGTCTATATATTTATTTATTTGAAATACTGCCAGCCCTTGCGGGTTAATGCACGAGGAGGTTCGCAACGTATTTTAAAAGGGTGACAAAAGAAGTCATACACATTGAAAACACCAACTGATTATACACCAGGAACCAAATTCAACAATTTTCCTTCAAATGTCTCTACGAAAGAAACCACAGTAAAATATTACGGAAATTTGTTCCAATCTTCGATAGTTTTGACGAGAAAAGGGTATTTGTAAACGCCATTGTTCTGTAGGAGCGAGTCAACTGAAAATTCATGATTTAAACGTAAAGATCGCCTTCCATGCGTTCTTATGTAACCTTGCGTGTCAAAGTTTAATTGCTTAAAATACAACATGTACAAAACATTCAGCTGAGCAATTTTACGCTGTGATGTTAAGGGAGATGGTCATTGATTTTGTCAACAAAGCCATGAGAGACACCAGCCAATTGTACAAAGAAAATATAAATCTAGTTGCGAGTCTTTGAATGCGTTCTAGTTTACCTATTTGAGTTCGTGAAAGTTAAATGATGAACGCATACTCTATCGCTGGGCGCACCGAAGTTTTATAAACATTAGCTCTTACGTCGCAGTTCGTCTTACTTAGGGTTCGCCCCATGAAGCCAAGCTTGCAATACGCACTACTACAGACATTCTGAATACGCAAATTCGAGCTGAGTTCGCATCAAATTTAACCTTAATAACTTAAAGGAATCACAACGTTGCAAACTGATACCATTTACTTCGTAAGAAAAGTATAAAATGATACTTTTTTTTTTCTGTGGTTAAGACAAGTTTTATCAAAGTTTATTTCCACGTCAAACTTTTCACACCAGCGAAAAAAAACCGATAGGAGAGATGCGAAACTATCTGCTTATCCGCTGTTTTTACGGCTGTGAAAACTGAAAATCGTGTAAGCAGCACCTGTTTCCACGGGATAAAAAATTGCCTTCAAACAGGCGAACTTGTACAGCATGTCAACATTTTCAACGACGCCATTAACGTGCATAAAGGAAGCCAACAATGAAAGCTCCAAGGCAAAACCTTGAGGTACGCCAGATGAAACAGGCAAACGAGGTGATGCATGATCGTAAATACTGCTTCATGTTTGAGAGGTATCTTTTGATCTAAAAAGCTACGTTTTTATCAATACCCAAATGAAGTAATTAATCGAGCAGATTCGAGCGCGTGACCCTGTTCAACGCTTTAAATAAGTCGATGGAGACAACATCCTTCTGACCGCGATTACGTAGCACGAAACTAAACTGGTGACACGACTCAAATCGCTGAGGAAGTTGACAAAAAAACGACAGAACAGAAGACCAAGAATTCGATTTACTAGCGCGAGGAAAAAGATAAAAAGAGAGAGAGAGAACACGGTTTCACAGTCCTGTTGAAAATGGAATATTTGTAGGCCGGCCGTTGCGTAGAAAGGCAGAAGTAATACCACCGTGAACAAAAAAAAAACGAAAAAGAAATAGAATCTTGCCTTTTGTTTTAAGAGGTCTTTACCCTGCAGTCCAGTGTAATGTGTCTGTTTTCAAAGACAGCGACGACGGTAATTTCGCTCGTCAAGTCAGAGTACATTGGTTCGATTTATTTTAAACAGTTTGTGCAAGTATTAGTGCGTACAGACATGCTATTCAGGCATATTGAGCCCTGACGTTACTTCAAGCATTACACTACCCGCATGGTATTGGGCCTTTCGACAGCTCGCTAATCTGACGTTCATCCTCAGTTTTGTCAATGCGTTGCCCACACACATAAGTCATCTAGCATCAGGTAGTTTTCGTAGATCGTTTCCGCCGTCCTGTAACACTCCCCGCAACCGGCACCGAGATCTCAAACCCTGCAAGCAAGGCTTACGGCCCGCGTGCGCTGTAGCGGTGTCTCCGTTGCGGAAAGAGTGGTGGAGGGGTGGAAGGGAAACAGTTCCGCGGTTTACAGAATTACCCATTAAAGCGTCTGCACAAAACGCGCTTTTGAGATAAAAGAAGAAAAGAAAGCGCGGGTGTTGGGATGGGCGGGGATGGACGGAGAGCCGCTTTACATCGAGTGTCTCCTTATCTTTTTTATATATATATATATATATATATATATATATATATAGAAACTACATGATTCTATACCCTTTTCGCGCATTCCAGCGAGCTACACTGTGGTGGACGCTAAAGTTGCCAGGTTAGAAACCGTCTTGTACTGGTGAAAATCTGACCCTGCGGC